CTGCAGGAAGTCGGGTTGCGCGCGGGGCGGCGCCGGGCTGGTCCCGCAGGGCTGTGCTCTCTCTAGCAGCCGGAAGCCCCAGGCCCAACCCGTCGGAATCCGAGGCGGGCGGGGGAAGGGAAGCGCATGCGAGGCGGGGCGGGGCGGGGCGGAGGCCGCGCGGCTGGTAGGCGGCGCCTGCCCTGCCTAGGCTGGTAGCCCAAGCTTTGGGAGCTGCCGGGACTTGGGGTCCGTCCAGAAATGATCCCGCAGTCTGAGGCCGCGGTTGGACAGCAGGAAGTCCCGCGCGGTCGTGCTTCCGCGCAGCAGGCGCCTCCGGGTCCGTTCATCCTGGGCCAGCGGGAACCTAGCGGGGCTACGGACTACGGCCGTCCCCGCTGGTCCGAAGGGGCGGGAACGTGGGAAGTTGAAGGGCACGATGGTTACTCCCTCCCGGGGGTGTGTTGGAGGCGGCCGCACGAAGCCAGAAACCTGTTTTGTAGGTGAACACCGCACTGGAGAGGTTGTGAACTCCACGGGGCTTTCCTTCCCTGATGCCGGGGTGGAGGACAACCCCTTCTTGTCTGAGAGACCTTGAGCTTCCAGCTCAGGCCACCAAGCACTATCAATAGGAGATTCTAGCCGGGCTGCCATTGGGACCTCGGTTACTTGGGCCGCAGGGGAACCAACCCTGTGGGGAAGGCCGATGGTGCCTCCAGTACTTGATGGGGCAACTTCCTCAACCACCAGAGCTCCCCGCTCCATCCCCCATACAGAGTTCTTCTGTCTAGCCTTGGCTGACCTGGAACTATCTCTGTAGACCAGGTTTGCCTCGAACTCAGAGATATGCATGTCTCTGTCTCCCTAGTGCTGGGATTAAAGGCGTACCACCGCTGCTCTGCCCACCAGAGCCTCTTATTGGAGCTGTGCCTCCATAGAAACAGGAAATTGAGATGTGGACCACATGTCTATCCCATAAAGGCGGCAGGGTGAGGTTCTTGCTGCGGTGACCCCTGCCTCAAGCAGGAGCCCCACGTGTCCAAGGCCAGAGTGAGACACAGCACACAGGATCTTCGTGAATCTCGTGGCGGCGTGGCCTTCCCAGATGTTCTAGACCTTGTTGCTCTGCCTGACAAATCCATCTGGGCCTGCCCCAGGGCCTGCAGATGTCCTTGGTCCCTTCTCCAATCTACTGCCCTGCACATGCATACACAGTGCACACATGTACACATGCTAGAACAGAGACAAGTGTCCCAAGGACAAGAAACCTCTATATCCCACCATAGACACAAAGTACGTAGATTTGGATGCCCACGTGTTCCTGGCCCCTCTCATTTTGGTAGTACAGCTGCAGGGGGAAGGACTGGAGTGAAGGTACCCTTTGTTTCCCTCTCTAGAGGCAGTCACCTCTAGTTCCTCAAGAGCCTGGGACAGCTAGCTCCCTCCCAGCTCACCAGGCAGGCAGAGATCTGGGTATATATATTTTCCTTTAAGTAGCCAGTGTGGAACGGTTCCCACTGAGGAGCAGCTGCTGGATCAGGGCCCACTCGCAGGAGGAGCCGAGACGGGAAGGGAAGGCAGAGTCTGAGACTAGGCAGGTAAGAGGATAAACTTGAGTGTTGGGGACAGACTGCCTGCTGGTCACGGACACTTGAAATCCTCTGGGATTCAGGACTGGGTTGACAGAAGGTGAACAGGGGGTGAACAGGCAGCTTGCAAGAGCCAGCACCAGGACCCAGGAAGCATGAGAAACCCAGTTTGCCTAAGTGAGACTGGGTTAGTGGCCCGAGTCTGGCTAGCTGTGGAGTTGAGCACATGGCCCCCGACATTTGAGAGTTGCCATGGAACAGCTACAGGGAGGGCTGAGGGGGCAATTTCAGGTCGGCCTTTGCTGGAGATCCTGGGAAGGTCCCCACATTGAGTTCCCTGATTCCCTTGGATATATTGTCCCTGGTTTCCCAAACAGGCCTTTGTGTATCAAGATCAATGTGGACCAAAGCCTGGGCCCAGCTTCCTGCCAGGTCCATACTCAGGGAGAAGAAGGCCCATCCCAAACTGGCCGGACACCTGGCCCAATACAGGATGCTATGAAGACAGGTTAGGCTAGCCAACTCCTCCTGCCTGTGCCCACCTGCAGTGGGCCACCTGTTCCAGGGCTTGGTGCCCCTGACGCCAAGACTCCTACCAACCTGGCACAGGCCTGATCACAGATGGCCTTATGTGTCATCAAGACCATGGGGTGGCAGGGGTGGATAGGCATCCAGGCCTCAAATATCCCCATCCTCATCCCCTCCCCAGGGTCACCTGGCTCGGGGGAGGGGAAACAATGAATTTTGGCCACGTATTGGGTGTCTGTGGGGAAAGTTTCCATGCCTAGCATCTTGAGTCACAACTCTGCCCTTTGCTTTTGGAGTCTATTTCTTGTACAGAATGGACTCCAGGGATTCTGACACCCAGGCCACCAAAAACAGGACCAAAATTCTTGCAGAGCAGGCCGAGTCCTTTTCTAACTCAGGCCTGCACGGTGAGGCCTGGTTCTACCTCATCCTGACCAGGGAGAAGTCTGTGACCCCAGGACAGGCTTCAAAGCACGTGCCAGGCAGGTATAGATAAAGGTGGCAGACCTAGGCCAGGGTCTGGGCTGGATGGCCTGGGGGAGGAGATAGGCTTCTGGACGAGTGGGGCATGTAGAAGGTACAGGCTATCACCACAGTGGGAATGAGCAGGATGAAGGGCTGACCAGACTGGCATTATACTAACAGGACACTGGTGATCTATTGTGTACCCTAAAAAAATTTGCCTGAAGATCAGAAAACAGAACAAGCCACTAGATTAAACAGATGCCAGGCAGTGGTGGCACACACCTTTAATCCTAGCACTCGGGAGGCAGAGGTCCGTCTGGATCTCTGTGAGTTCAAAGCCACCCTGGACTACATGAGATTGATTCAGTCTAGGAGAGAAACAGAGCCAGGCAATGGTGGCACACATCTTTAATCCCTGTACTTGGGAGTCACACGCCTTTAATCCCAGCATTAGGAAGGTTGAGACAGGAAGTGATGGCTGGGCAGAGAAATGTATACATAAGGCGTGAGGAAACAGGAACTGAAGGCTTTTTCAGCTGGAGTCTTTCGGGTAAGGATTTCAATCAGAGGATTCGTGGAGTTGGTGAAACGTGTTGGCAGTGGCTTGTTCCTTTGTCTCTCTGGTCTTTCAGTATTTACCCCAATATCTGGCACCAGGTTTTTTATTTTAAGACCTTTTAAGATTCGAGCAACACTTAGGCTTTCCATGGAAGACGCCTGGGATCTGTATTTCCAGATAACAGCTTGTCTGGCCTGGGGCCAGCCCCCCTGACTCTAGGGTGGAAGGTAGGGGCCAGGAGACAAGGAAGTCCAACTGCTAGTGGGCAAGGCGGGGTGTGACTCCTGGTGACTGAGTAGAAATGAAAATGTGGATCGTCACAGAACATGGATAGGAATTAGGACCACCAAAGAGCTGCCAGCTCTACTCAGGGGTTCCCTAGGTCTTGAGAAACTTGGAAACAGGTACCATCCAAGATGGGGTTTCAAGAGCTGCAGCTAAGTCTAGGGGCAGTCATGCCCATAGAGGCTCTGGCTGATGTAGGAGACCTCAGCCAGGCCTGGGATGGGGGGGCTTATTCACCCAGGCCTCTCCTCCTTCAACCCTTCCAGGGGTCCTGGTTCCCTTTGGATGTATTCTGGGCCAGGGGTACCTATAATCCTCTTAAGTTCATATCCAGAGATGAAGCCTAGGTCAACTCTGGTGACAGGAGGCTGATCTGAAGCCTTGCAGAAAGCTGCTGTTGAAGCTGAGCGCCCCAGGGTCAGCCGCATGCCTCTCCCCTGCCTCCTGCTCCTATAGTTTCTGCTGCACCCGATGCCTAGGTTGTCTGCAATGTTCCTTTGGCTATTCCTCTTTTTTCATGCATCCATCCCACCAGTTATAGAGATGGCTCCTAACAGTCATCCAGTCATTGAAAAGAACACATGTCCAGACCCTAGCCTGAGTAGGCCCTTGGTCACCCAGTGCTACAGCACAACTCTGTTCTCAGTTCATGCCTAGGCTGCCAGAACCTCAGTGATGAGCTGTGAGCTGGCCCACCCATCCATGCCCCCCCTCCCCCCACATCTTGAGACAAGGTTCAAAAGACAAATACACTAGGCTGTTCTGGAACTATGTAGACCTGTCTATCCTTAAACCTGTGGTGATTCAACTTTGTTGGCCTCTTTAGTGCTGAAATTAGATGTGAGGCACCACACCAGGGTCCAACTATTTTCTTCTGAACCCCTGGATCTGGTGAATGGTAAGCCCAGCTAGGATGGTGGACTTTTCCAGGCTAAGCCCGCTTCTGCTCCTCTTTCTGCAGCTCCTAGGAGAACCTTCTGCTCCCCCCTGCCCCCTCCCCAAGCATGACGGGGAAGCCAAGTCAGATGGAGGGCTCTCCCCCTCCCTGCTAGGAGGCACAGGGACAGGAAGAACTGGGGTACTGGTCTTGTGGGGCCAGCCAATGCCCCACTCACAGGCTCCTGTGGTGAAGGCTGCAGACTCTGGGCTAAGACTCTGGCTCTATGAAGGTTAACAGGAGGCAGTAAGGGCTAAGCACTGGGTCTATGGTTCTGTGACTCTCTTCTCCATAGTACATAACCCAGGTGCTTCTTGGGGGGTGGGTGGGTGATGTAATGGCCCAGAAAGTTTTGATCCAGCAGACCTTTATGGAAGCCCTGTCAGGAAGGGCCATGCCCAGTCCATCTGTCCAGCACTGCCCACCGTGAGTCCTGTCCCAGCCTGGTCAAGGTTCCCAGTCTAGGATTCCTGGTCACAGTTGAGTGACCACAGCCCCAGGTCTAAGCTGTAGAAATGCTGTCCCCCCTTTCCTGAGGACTTGACTGCACGTATGGGCGCTACCAGCGCCCACGGTACTCTCAAAGTCCTTTATTGTACAACGTCATCTGTTTGGGGAGAGGGGAGGGGGTAAAAGGACTAACCGGTACACAAGGAAATAGATAAATATGCCAAGCTTTTTCTTTTTTCCTTTTTAAAATCAGGCATTTATAAACAAGAAAGCATACATTAATTACATAAAAATAGTTCTCGAGTAGCAGAGTAAGCCATCATATTGTCATTAGCAGCAGCACAGGACTGGAGGGTGCAGGGGCCTGGGCAGTTATGAAGGTTGAGGTGGGTTTATTTTTCTTTAATTGATGAAAATGTCATTTGAGAATCCTGACTTAACGTACCCCCCCACCCCCAAGCCCTAGGGTGGGCATGTGGGGAGAGACTTCGGAGGATACTCTAAGTAGGAACTGGGGTTAATGGGTGGCCATGGAGGACACCACATGGGAAATGCCACAAGACGCTTCTGTCCCCTCTGGCAGATGAGCAATTTTTCCTCAGTTAAAAACAACCCAGAAAACAAGACAACCAGCAGGTAAGAAAAGTTTCTGGAAAAGGAATCACCCTATACACGTATAATACAATGGTGTGAAATGGGAAAAAGTATTTACATGTGAGTTGTTTTTACATTGGCTAGTTCTGTATGAAAAGCAGGGTGTCATGTGTATGAGTTAGCTGCTCACCAATGAGTGTTATTGCTGTTGTTTTTTTCCCTTCGTTAAAAAATTTTCAGGATAGAAATAATGAGTAAACTGATAAAGGGTTTAACATACAGGGAGAGTCAACAGCCAACATGATGGAAACCTCTCCTCCCTTTCTCTGAAAAGAAATTTGCAGCCTTCCTAACGGGGAGCCAGGCACGCAGTACCTGGCTGTGCTCAGTCCATGGCAGGTCCTGCAGCAGACAGGGCCGCCTTCCACGGCAGCCGCACAAAACACCCGGTGCTTCACTAGCTTCACCCGGGGCGGCCCGGCGTCTGGCAGAAGCATTAGGAGGACCTAGATCACAAGCTTCCGGTAAATGGGAGCCTGCACTCTGGTCCCACTGCCTGCCAGGGCCTCACAGGAAGCAGGGAGGAGGGACTCAGGAGGAACAACTCATGGATGACAAGCCCTTCCCAGACCCAAGTCATCCTGGCACGTGAGGAGGAGGAGGAGTCTCCGCTTCAGACAGCGCACTTCCTCCCATAATGGGGCCAGTGCTGGACCAAGGAGGCCAGGAAACTGATGGTGACCAAAGCTGTGGCAAGAAGAGGCTCTATTGATAAAAGCAAGTGCCCCTGGAACCCAAGGCTCAAAGGGGCCCAAATCACTGTGATCTCCAACTGGGCAACAGGGACAGCCACACAGAAGCACACCAACACACTTAAAGCTTTGCTCCAACTAAATCATTTAGTTTTCCTTGAAGAAATGACTGAAAAACACAACTCTAGAAAAACAAGGCTGAAAACAGCATTCTTCGTGTTGTGTAACAAAACTGACCCTTTAGGAGACACGGTCATAATGCCCATGGGTGGGTCTAGCTATGGAGATGTGAAATCCATGCATACAAGTTTCATAACTGAGAGGAAAAAAGCCAAAGAAAAAAACTCCAAATAAACGCTGCATATACATGACGTCCCTTTTGCATTGCACTTCAGAAGGGGGGACCTGGCAGCAGCCCAGCCCCCCATAGTAAACCAAGGGCAAAACCCTGCAGACGACCTCGGCACCGAGTGTCAGGGCTTAGCAGTCTCCAGTCGCAGGCGAGAGAGTCCTTGAGGTCTTGTACCTGCACAAGCCACCTCCACCTCCCTCAGCTCACGGCTGCCCTGTCGGGACTGGAGCGGAGGGAGGGCTTCTGTGTGATCTTCTCATGTAAATAACACAACTGGAGGATGGGTGGTGGCCTCTTGTCGACTAGGAAATCATTTTTCAAGCTTGGGCATAAGAAATCTTATACAATTTGCATAAACAGTTAAGAGTAAACGAGATTATTTGGAATAAATGCAAGTAACGTATTTTGACAGTGGCAGATTCAATCGCTACTGAAGACGATATTTTGGGGGTAAAAAGACAAGTCAGGGTTTGCTGTACAAGATGCTGGAAGGCACAGAACGACCCCCAAGTTCAGTCTCTGCATTTTCGTTTTCTTGTGATTCCCTTGTTCAACCAAGCACCAGAGGGGATTTCTAAGCACTCGAGCACTCAGGGTTTGAACTGCTCTAGAAATCAGTAAAAACCTCAGTTAACTGGGGGTAAAAAGAGAAGGGAGGGTTCTGACAGAGCGCAGTTCTAAATACATGTTTAAATGAACAAAAAAAAAAAAAAAAAGAGAGAGAAAGAAAAAAGTGATATAATGCTGTTTTTGTTCCAATGCTGCAGCCTCAGTCCCAAGATGAGAGGAGTGATGTCTGCTGCATTGAAAAAAGGGGTTGCTGTGGTCAAGCAGCGTGTGGGTGGGTGGGCGGTGTGTATGGGGAACAATACAACATGACACTGGACCATGGCCACTGCCTAACACAGGTCGGCCCTCAAGGTGTAGGTGGGCAGGGGCATCCAGGGGCCTGGAGAGACTGTGACTCAGGACCCCTGGTGCCTGCACGGCAGGGTTAGTGGTGATGTTGGTGGGCGGGGCAGCGGCGGTAAGGCGGGCAGTGTTGGGGCTCATCTCGGCACGCGGCGCTCTCCCTGCTCTTCCTGGCAGCAGCAGGAAGACTGGGGTCCTTGTGGCTGAAAAAATAGACTCTGAAGAAAACCCTTGCTGTCCTCTTGCAGCCGCGGGCACAGATGAGCGGTGATGGCTTCCCAGGACGGCGGTGGGTGGGTGCCACCCCCACCAGAGTGGGTGTCCAGATGGCGTCACGTGTAGGGGCCTTTTACAGTTAGTCATTAAAAAACATGTTGATTTTCTGAATATCAAGTCTTCTTACTGGTTTTAAATAGCTTATAACAAAAGTGTAAATGTTAGAATGTTCTAGCAAGCAGAGGACCAGCTACAAGCCACAGAGCTAGTCTCAACTCTGGCTGCAGCTGGGGGACATGGCTTGCTCACTTGAACTTGGCCAGTAGAAAATTTTGCAGTGGATTCCAAAAGTATGTGGTTACAAACACTCGCTTGGTAATAGGCACAGTAGAGACGTTGTGCTGTGTGGCTGCAGAGGCGTGGGCTGGGTCTGCAGAGCCACGTACCCGCCGCCCTCTGCGCACGTATGGAGGTCCATGTGGCAGTGGCAGGCACTGCACAGGCTAGGGATCCAGCTCGGCACTGCCCTCGCCACCCACATTCTCAGGCCGTGGCCGAGGCCACAGCTGCTCCTGAAGCTCCTTCACCACCTTTTCCAGGTGCTCACGGGCCTCACGTTCCCTCAGCAGGTCAGCTCGAAGCTGCTCTCGGTCCGCCTCTGCATGCTGCAGCTTTGCTTGCAGGTCCTCAATCTGAAAGGGATGCTGAGTGGTCAGTAGTGCCTAACACCAGCACTTACCACTCAAGGCCACATCTCCCTTCTGAGTTCCTATTTAGACCTCGGTGCCATGTCTGCCCCACCTGAAGGCTCACAGGAAAAGGCCCAGATGTCGAGGCTTAGGACAGCCTCATCTGCTGCATCAGAGCAGGGACTGGCTCCACTTCCACCCTATACTTCTGACCCACGAGAGAACCAAACAGCACTACAGATGTAGAAGACCTTCCCTGCCTCCCTGGGTTTGGAAGCTGCTACTCTGTGCAGTTAGCAAGGTCCATCTCCTGATCCTAGCTTAGAGCTTGCTTCCCAAGCCAGCAGCAGGAAGGGAAGCCTATGTTCTGGGGCCACAATGGTCCTGGTGGGGAGATGGGAGCACCTGGACTTCCACCCGTGGCTATGGAAAACAGTCTCTAGTTCCCAGGCCCAGGTCTGCTGGATACACCTCAGGACCTCCAGGCATGGCACATCATCACCTCACAGATCCGCCTGAAATGGTTAAATCGAGGACGTTGGATCTGTGATAGCAGATATTCACTGTGCAGGTCAGTCTACCAGCCAACCCGCCCTAGTACCTGGGCTGAATACTTGGCGCGCAGGCGGCCGGCCTCACAGCCCTTGTCACACACCCGGACCTGCCGCGCCTGCTCCAGCTCTCGCTTCAGGCGCACCCGAGACTCGTTAGCCTCTTTCATCTTCTTCTCATTTTCAGCTCGGAGCCGCTCAATCTCTTTCCTCAAACTGCGCTTGGCCTCGGTGGCTTCGCGCAATTTCTCCTTCTTGGCCACACGCAAGAATTCTAGCTCCTGGGAAGACACGCAGCAGACAGGTTCAAAGTATTGCCAGCCCAGCACCTTTGTGCCCACCCTGCACCCAACAGTCAATTGACCTGACTGTTAGCTTCCCTCCAGGGCCCAGCAGAGAGCCTATTACTAGTTGTAGGTTGTTTCTATTAAGGTTGCATCAGAACCTTCTCGCACCTCCTCCTCCCAAATGTACATGCGCATGGGTGGGGGAGGAAAACACCAAGCAGACAGTCTCAGGCACTGCACCTGAGGCCTGGAGGTGCAGAGGGAGCCATTTACTTTTGGTACTTCCCGTGCCCTTCCCCCACTTGTTAGAATGCAGTATGACACCCGTCCCCCATGAATAGTCATGTGGGAAATCACACCTCCACCCAGAATGGGGGCAAGAGAGGATGAGGGAATGACTAAGACTCACTCTGAGGAGAACATCTGAAATCCTGCAGCCCTGAGGATTGACAGGGTTGTGTTGTGCTAAAGCCCACGCATGTGAGGCTGCCCCCAGAGCTGCCAGACTCAGGCTGAGGTGTGAATTCAGCAGAGGTTGAGCCTGCAGCAAAGTCTTAATGCTGAGCCCTGGCCAAGAGCTCCTCACTCTCCCCAGGCTGCCTGAGAACTGGGTCTCCCTTACTCACGTCAGAAAAACAAAACAGCATGAAAAGAAGGTGCAAGAGGAATGGCCACAGTCTAGAGACAGTGAGGTGGAGCCCAGACAGCCAGCCAGTACGTAGTGTGTAAGGACATACACACCTCCCAAGCATGTACTCCCCAAGGCCTGCTGCTAAGTCCCTTTTGGAGATGCAGCTTCAGAAGCCATCCCTGCACTCTATATGCAGAGCACAAGTCTTACTAGTGGAGAATAAACCAACTCCTGGCACAGAGCGCGAGGCATCACTAGAATAGCCACTCCTCACTCACCACTGTCACTGGCTTTTACCGTGGCCAGGAAAACATGCCAGTTCTTTCAGTAAGGCCCACACACAGGGAAAAGCTGCAGCTGAGACCACTATGGAAGCCTTCCTGGAAGCACAGGAGGACTCTGGACATCGAAGTGCCTCACAGAGCTGGGTCCTCCAGAGGACCTGGGAAGAACCCCAAGGCTCCCCAAGAGGACTTGGGCAGACAAAAGGGAAGTGGTCTTCTATATTTCATGGCCCGCCTGTTGTCCCCTTTACCTGGTGCAGGCTGCGCTTAGCCTGTAGGGCTGCTGTCAGCTTCTCCTCCTGCTTCACACGCATTTTTACCACCTCATGTAGGAACTTCTCTTTGGCTTCCTTGGTATCCAGGCCACCCTCCAGGGCTTGCCGCAGATGCTCTAACTCTGCCTCCAGCCCACTTGGGGCATCAGCATGGGCTGCAGCATCAGGAGCAACCATAGGAGGAGCATGCATGCCTGGGGAGCTTAGGTCCTTGGCAGAGCTGGACGAGGTAAAGGACGGAGAGGACAGCGAGGACAAGGAGGAGGTGACTGAGGACAGAGGAACCAAAGCATTAGGCATTCTGGAGTATACTGGCTTGGTCATACCATATGCCCCCACCCTACCCCATCCCCTGTACTAATGTCCAAAGGAATACTTACATTCCTCTCTGCTTTCAACTTCCACCTCAGCCTCAGAATCCTTGTCTTCCTCTGGGGCAGCCACAGATGTCAGCATATCTGGGGCTCCTGGTGTTTCCATGGTCAGCTTCCGCTTCCGTGGCTGGATACAAGTGGTAATAGGTTCTGGTGCCCGAGAGACCACAGTGGTGCATGGTGAACTGTTCAAAACCTTTTGCTGGGTTGGTGGTGCTAGGGCCACATTGGGGGCCACAGCTGTCTCAAAGCTCTTGTAGGAGTAAAAGCTGTAAGAGGCATAGATGCTTAGCTGGGGCACATCTGCTTCACAAGTCCCCATATGAGCTGTAGAATGGGCCCTGCGAACTCAGCCAGGACACAGCAAACTATCTTCTCCCAACTCTAAATCACAAGGTCAAGGTTCTAATAATTGGGAAACACAAATTTCCCCATAGGCTGGGCTAGGATGGCACACAGCTGGATCTTCACGTCCATGGAAGGCTATTACTTTTATTTTATTTTGAGGTAGGATCTCTATGTAACCCTAGCTGGCTTAGAATTTGTTATATATTCCAGGTTGGCCTCAAACTCACAAAGATTCATTTGTCTCTGCCTCCTGAATGCTGGGATTAAAGGCATGGATTTTTGTGCCCTGCTGGGAAGCTAACTTTAATAGACAGGTCTGTGAACACAGTAACCTTACCCAAGACTTCAAAGTTCTAGACAGTGTATCCTAGGACTAAAGGCACCAACACCATTGCAGCCTGCTAAACCGGAGTTTGGTTCTCCTGTGCACTCCTCACTCACCTGTCTCGAATCAGGGCTGGGAGGTGTGGGGAGGTCTCTTTCTCACTTGCTGACACTGCAGGGGACCAGGGCCGGAAAGCAGAAAGGCGCTGGCGAGGGTGAGCGCAGCCAAGGCTCTGTCAAGAGAGTCCCCTATGTAAGTGACTACAGAGAAACAGGCCACTTTGTGTCCCTGAGACCAGGTAGAGCCAGAGTTGGCTCCAAGAAGGGCCTGCTACCCTCCCCAAAGACCCCAGACAGGTTCCCACATAGCACCTTATTGGAGGAACCAGCCAAGGTCCGCAGCCAAGTGGACTGCTTGTCCTTCTCAGAAGACGCAGGGGACTGTGAGGAAGTGTCGTCTGCTTTGGGTCTTATGGAAGCTGGGGGCTCTGAGACCTGTGATCAACACAAAAGGCCCTGTTGGGATCCCTGGGCCCAGGCAGGGTCTAGTCTTCCTACCAGCTCCATGGCAGCAAGATCCCCACTGGATCATCATAACTCCTGTGAAGCTATGAAGGAGCCCCAAGTACCCAGAATATATGGAGCCATGAACATAGTGTACCCTTGGCCCTGTGCAGAAAGGTAAGCCTGATGCCTCTGCTGAGGGGCAAGGGCATCACATGAGAATAGAGAGGACACTGTGCAGCTGTGGGCTGCTATGAGGTGACCTCACTCACAGCTGCAGCAGGCTCTGCGTGGATCTGCCAAGATCCATACTGGTGTCCACAGTGCTCTGACCCTTAGGTTCTTTGCTTTCAGTCTACACTACTTCCTTAGAATACAGATATATGTTGCTGGAAAGGCTGAAAGGGACCAGTCCCACTCCATGGCCCATGTCAGGAATGGGCTAAATAACCCAGCAGTGACCACAGGCTCAAACGTGAGCCAGTAAGCAGCTATGCTCAAGCTCAGAAGGAGCCTGGGAGGCCTGCCCTTGGCCCTTGTCACTGCTTCATTAGGGAGCATTAGAGAGACACCCCCTCCCCAGAGGAAAGAAACATTCATCTTGAAGGACTGTGACACATTGCACAAAATAAATAGCTTTACCAGGTGTTAGCTTTGCTGTCAGAAGCTTACAGAAGCTACTCAGCACCCTAGCTTATCTCAGGCACCAGTTGTGGTCTACTTTGACACTCAGCACTAAGTGGCACACACCTGAGCCAATCTGTGTGGAAAAGCCTGTGACCCTCCACCCAAATGTCACCCACCAGAGACATTCCATCTGCAAGACAATCACAGCATGAGCCTCACCCAGAGCAGAGAAGCCTATAGAAGCTAGGCTATACTATCCCCTAGCTATGGCCTAAGTAGATGATAGGGACCCTAGGGCAGAAGAACCAACAGACATAACAGGGTTTACAGCTCGATCCCAGGCACAGCTGCGCCTAGGGAGAAGTTACCTGGGGCGGGGGCAGGGGTGGGGGTGGGGATGAAGCCAAAGTGAGGTCTCTGGCCTTTAGCCAAGGGGCCTCAAGTATACAGAAGAGCAGGGTTCTTCTCCAGAATACTTGGGGAAACTCCCTACCACACAACTGCCCAGCAGAAGTGAGGCTGAAACCTTGCCCCCTGGAAGGGGCATAAGAGGCAGGCAGTCAAGGTGCCAACTTCCATGAAATTTAGACCGGAGGGATGGATCAGCCCTAGTGGAGGCCTTCACCAAGGCCCAGGTAGTGTCTAGTGCTTGTGCTGGATCCCAGGTACCTGAGAGGTCTGCTGCCCTTCCAAGAATAATCCTTATTGGGGCCACCTCCAGTGCTCAGAAAGAGAAGGACCTGGTAGAGGGAACCACTGGAGGGACTACATTGGTGTTGTTCCCAAATAAGCAGCTACCTAGGGATGAGGCAGCGCTGTTCCTGGGGCACTGTCAGGGATAAACACAGGCTCAGCTGGGGTGCACGTTCCTCAAAGACACAGAAATAACCAAGAAAAGAGACACCGAAACCACCCCAGTTGTGTTGTCGCTTTCTAGAGGAAATGAGTCTCAACGTCACAGTGTCATTCAGCAGAGGCCCTGTCAGTGGAGGCCATGTGTGCCCCCCGCAGGGGTAGACACCCAAGATGCTGGCTGGGGCAGAAGAACCCACTTCCGTAATTGCAAGGATCCTTCCCACAGCGAAGGCAGAAGGGTGGTGGTGGGGTGCACACCAGGGTGGGGCTTCCTGCCCTAAGCAGACACTGGCTGGAGCAGGTGCAGAAAGTGAGCTCTATTCTTTCACAGAGAAAGCCACAAGTCTAGTCTGGTGCTGACTTGAAAACTCCAGAGACCTTGGGGGTGGGGAGTATGAGACACCTCAGGCAGCCTCATAAGCCAGACTGTGACCCAGCAGAAAAGACTGGAGAATAGGACCACTGGATGAGGCTGCTTCCTGTGCAAAAGGGTGTGTGTGTGTGTGTGTGCGCGCGCGCATACACCAGATTAGTGTATTAGGGTCAAAGTCTCCTAAGGCAACCCAGCTGCTTCAGACAAGAGATGGGGAAGCCCCTGGAGCTAATGGAGGAGTCTCCAGGTACTTGGAACAACTCTCCTGAGATTTTCATAAAAAGCCCAAAGGCAGGAAGAACTCTTACAGAACAAGGAAGTCTTAAACTAGATGATGACAGGAATTCCCCTTTAATACCAAGCTAACGCCAAGTTGCAAAAGTGAGGGTGGAGCTGAAGAGTATTTGTCAAGCAAGAGGACCCTGAAGAAGGGCCGCCTGACACGTGTTCTACTTTTCAAAGCTGCAGAGATATCAAAGGCTTCATCAGGCCTGGGATATCACTGTCCACATTAGAGATACCAGGGATCCTAGAAATCAGCCAATGGTCAGGGACAAAGCTGTACCTTATGACACACCATAGTGTTTCCCCTGTAGGAGCACCAGTTAGAACCAGTCAGTTACCTCTGATTTCTGACCTTTTGTGTGGCCTCAAAAACAGCCCACAGCACCTACCAGCCAGGAAGTGGGCTCTGGGCCCACATGCCAAGACCAGGACCTGAACAGGTCTACAAGAGGCAGCCCTGCCCCCAAAAGTCCAATACCATGAAGCCATTATCAGGCTGTATCAGGGGAGGAGCTAGTTGGGCTGGCCACAGCAGTGCCCTGTGGCCACTTCCTCTCTGGGGCTTCAGACAGTGGATGTTTGTTTCCCCCACATCCCAAGGGCAAAGACAGGCTGAGAACAGGTGCCACTGAGTGTGAGCCTCTGCCTCTGTGCAGGAAGGGCAGGGCCAGGCAGGGCTGTGGATACCACAGATCCCAAGGCAAGTGAAGAGCCAGCTGCATATGCCCACCCCACTCCACCCCTCCATACTCTACATCGTGGGGTCTGTGTACTCTGACCCATAGGGAACTTAGAAATTCCTCACCCCCACCTCCAAACATCCACCTCACAAAGAATACTTGAGACACTCATGCTGACCAAGACAGAAACGGGCAGGACAATACGGGTCCATGGGATACAGTAGAGCCTGGCATTCAAAAAATGAGCTGTAGCCAATGTGGCTGCTGTCTGTAGCACTTGCCTCTAGCCTCAGACAGTACAGAGAACAGTCAGGCAGAGCCTCAGGGATTTGTGGCCAGCAGGAGTCACACAGCACAGATTGGGGACTCTAAACCAGACAGGCAGTGTTTCCTGTGGATGCCTATGCCCAATAAACAAAGACAGTAGGTAGCTGGAGAAACCCTCACAAGGCATGGCAACTTGCCAAAGGCAGAGGGCCCTTGGCTAGTGCTTTGGAGACAGTGGAGAGTGAGCTTGGGGCACTGAAGGAGGCCTGCACACACTGTGCTAAGACCACAGTAACTAAATACCCACAGCAGAGATTGAGACCAACAGGGGCCCAGGGAAGCCCCTATAGAGCATCTGCTCACCCCACAGGCTGCAGAATCCTGGCAGTCCCTACCCAGCACCAGTCCTGAAAGAACAAGTTTATTGCCATTCTTCATCCAAATGTTTAAGAAACTTCACTAGTCAAGAGTCAGCCTCAGAGGGAGGGGTGGTGGTGCACGCACACACCTTTAATCCCAGCACTAGGAAGACAGAGGCAGGAAATAACTGGAAGTCCAAGGTCAGTGTGGTCTATATAGCAAGTTCCTGGACAGTCAGAGCTACATAACAGAGACCCTGTCTCAAAAACAAAACCAAAGAGTCTGCCTCAGAACTTGTCCCCAAGGCCGGCCTGCCCAGCCACCCTTCCAGCCATATCCAGTTCCTTGTCTTTGGTGTGTGGAACAAGAATTATCATCCCAAATGCTGGCCGGTGGCACGAGGTAAGCTCAGAGTCATAGCAGGGTGTGATAGGAGCATGCAGCCTAACTTCTTATAGTGCTCTGGTCACCGTATCAGATGCCAACCATCTTCAAGTGACCACCAAGCAGCCATGGGAGCACACAGGGACCCTGCTATATGTCCCTGGCTGTGCAGACAGTACCCACACTTCAGGGTACAGCCCAGGCATGCTTCTAAGGGACAGAGGCAGGAAAGACCAACAGAAGAAACAAATGTCAGGAAGTGAGACTGGCCTAACTCCAGCCAGGTTCTCAGTCTATCTAGTGCCAGGGTCTCTTGTCACTTAGGCTCTTAAACACACAAATACAACAGGATGGATTACAAGGGAACACCCAAACTCAACAGTTGCCAACAGCAATAAGGCAGGCTAAGCACTGCTCTCTGTGCCATCCAAAGGGTCACAGCCACCTGGAAGAAGTCTATGATGTCTCAGAGTGCCTCATACCTGAGCATTCCTTGAGGAATGTGTCCCAGGCTTGAGGACTAAACAGTAAGGATAGGAAGGGACTTGGGATTCTGCTTGTGATGGAACAGTTTTCCTAGGTGGGAGCCAGCTCTGCTGTGGGGACATCAAGGAATGACTGTTTAGAAGCTCTCAGAAATAATGAATCTCCCTTGGGACTGACAAGATGGCTCAGTGGTTAGTTAATAGCCGTGGCTGTTCTTCTAGAGGACCTGGATTTGGTCCCCAGCACTTACACAGTGACTCACAACCATCTGCAACTCTAGTTTCAGACTGATGCCCTTTTCTGGCCTTCATGGGTGCCAGTCATGCACGTGGTATACATACATTCATGCATACATGCAGGCAAACATTAAAAAATAAATACTTTATGTGTATAAATATTTTTTTATTTGTTTGTTTTTTGTTTTTGAGATAGGGTTTCTCTGTGTAGCCCTGGCTGTCCTGGAACTCACTGGCCTTGAACTTATGAGATTTGCCTGCCTCTGCCTCCAGAGTACGAGATTAAAGAGATACACCACCACTACCCAGCTATGAATGTTCAGCCTGCATGAATGTGCATTATATATGTGTCTGTTGGAGCCTCTGCAACTGGAGTTATGGACAGTTTGTGAACCGCATGTGGTTACTGGGAATAGAATCCAGGTCTTCTGCAAGAGC